GATCATGCTGATTCAATTATTCAGCTTCAATTTCCTTTCTCTGGGATGTAAGTAGGTTTTTCAAAATTTAACTTGGTTGATTTCTGGTTGTCTGAAGACAGTGTCTGTGATTAAGCTGAGTCCTCTCCCTCCCAGACCCTAGTGTCTACCTCTAATTTGTTCCTGGTGAATGACAGTAAGTAAGTTCACAGCCTCAGGTACTTTTTACTTTTTTCAAAGCTGCCTTCTCTTTTTTTCCCCCCGCGTGCCTTAAGGTTTTGTTTGGGCATGCATTTGAGGGCTTTAAGGGGTTTGCCTTGACATCCCTGGATTGGCGTCTTTGATTTGAGTCCCTACCGAGGATCACCCAGGAGTCAGCAGTCCTACCTCTCCGTGCTGCCCTGTCAGCAGCAACTTCTAGTGCAGAGGCCAGACCCACCCCTTCCCCTGGGAGTACTGCTGAGACAGCCTAGACAGGTGTGTGTGCTCAGAAAGGGACTTGGGGGCTCCATGGTAGCCTGCAACTTCAGAGTACTTTTTGGGTTTAGAAAAGAGCTCTGAGATCCTATACTATTCCACCTATTTTTAAAATACTGACCAGTGGGAACCACAGAAATTAGCCACATTTGTAAACAAATGGAGAATGAGGTCATTTGATTATGTCATCCTCCGCCTAACTAGTTTTCAGATCTTTGCCTTCAGGAATTTGGAATTGGGTTGTTTACGTGCAGGAACCATTGGGTGTTTAGGTTGTCCATACAAGATCGTTAAGGGGCTTTTCTGAGCAAGAGTGCTAAGACTTCAACAGTTCCTCTTCTTTTTTGAGCTAGTGATAAATGTGAAATAGCAAAAGTAATTTTGTTTGCTTTTTCTATTCTAAAAGTATTACCTATGGATCCATGGGCTACTAGTCCTTTAGGGTATAGTAATATGTGATGGGCTTAGAACCTTAGGGGGCATAAATCTGAGCTGCTAGAGCTATGAGATGGAAGACTGGTGAGACTGAACTTGGAGATATGGTCACTTAGATGACCATGTCTGCACCAAACATGTGTTACTGTGTGTCTGGGTATCAAAAAAAAAATCCAGGGAAACAAAAACTTGCATTCAGCATGGTTTCTGCAAAACCTCCGTGAAGACTGTTGGATCCTTTCTTTCATTTGACATGGCCCTCAGGTGGTCATAAACATGTGCTACTCAGTTAGAGAACAGATGTTTTTAGAGGAGGTAAACTGAATGTCACCCAGTGGCAGCTGTTTTGGGTGTGGTATGGTGCAGATTGCGTACAGTAAGCTTTCCTAGGAACCAGGCTTAGGATATGGTTATAAATGAAAGGAAAGTGAGGAGAGATGAGAGGAATTCTTCAACAGAGGAATTCAAATGATTTCTCTGACAAGAAGCCTCATGTCCAGAGGTGGGAAAATAGTAGCAAAACTTTGAAAAGATTTGGTGAACAGGAGAGCACTCTCAAAGCAAAACAGCTCAGGGAAATAGAAAAAAAGAAATAGAAAAATGCCTCATAATTTCCCTAATAACTTGGATCTCTGGTTTTCTGTGAGAGGGCTGTTTTAGCAGCTGCACTATACTGTTGAGAGACAAGTATACTTAGTGTAAATGCTGAGGCAACACACATTACATTTTGAGGTAAAATTCTACCAGAAAAGTTACTTTCAGGTAATTAAAATTTACCCTAAATCTGAATTATTTGCTTTCTCTCATTTCAACATTGACTGAATCAGTTTTCAGTCTAGAGAGCAATCGGCAGTTTTGTCATGATTTCTCTTTTTGTTTTGTATTTTTGCCTACCATATTAATTGATCATTTCAATATTTTAAGGAATAGAACCCGTTTCCTATTGCCCAATGAAGGAATTACAGATTTAGAATGTAGGCAAGCCAGCGAACAGTAGCTCAAAAGCATCGCTGTGTTCCTTAGGATGAACGCTGCGCTTTATATCTTTGTGTTGCTTTACTTGTAGTTAGTCTTTGAGATTTTAACATTTATTACCCACATGATTATAATCACTTTTGGGGCACTGAAGTCATGAAAGCTCGCTGCTTGAACACAGATGCAGCAAGATGAATTCTTAGAATACATTTCTCAAAACGTGCATCGCAGGCAGTAATGTCTACGTGTTTCAGTGGGGAGTTTTGCAGCTGTGGTTCCTATCAACGGGATGGAAATTTTTGTTAGGTTGGTCCAGTATTATATTGATTGGTTCTTCCTTCCACACTCCAAGGACACTGGTTTTCCTCTGCAGAATATATCTTGAGTCAGTGTTAAACTTCCAGCATTAAATCTACTATAGACCTCTCCTTTGTATTGCTGAAGGGAAATTTTCAACTTCCCCAGCATTCTTGTATATAACAAATTACATTTTGTGTTCCCAAATGCCTTGTACTGTTGGCATTGTTTGTTTTGGTTTGGGAGTCCTGGAGACCTCTCCATCTTACTGCTTCTCCTAGAAGCTGTGCAGTATATTTCCAGAAGGCCCACTGTGTTGAATGATGATTTACATTCTCCACTGAGTATATAATTTAAGAGGCTGTTATGATCTTCTTTTTTCCTGATTTGCTATTACAGTCAGAAAAATCTCCTGTATGAGTGTACCTCTCCTTTTGCTATCCCCTCATGATCGAACAGTTCCTTAGTCTACTGAATTAAAAATAATTAAGATTAAAATAAAAAGTCATTTGGCCAAGTCTGACTAGCAAAGAATGGGAAGAGACCCTGGAAATTGCATGCCGTTTTTAAGTTAAAATGTCCTACTTTTTGTAATGTTTTCATTTTAAAATGTGGCAAAGGATGATGACATTTGGTTGTCAGAGATGACAAGTCAGACATACTTGACATTTCTACCTTTGTGATTTTTAGTTTTGGGTATGAACTTGATTTAAAGTATCTTAGAGCATTAGTACAGGGTTTATACAGTAAAAGCCATTTCTTTCTTTTCTATATATATTTTAAGATTTTTGCTGCTAGGTATACTAAACTCACAAAAGAATTTCTATACTCTAACTTACCAAACTTACCTCAGTTTTATCTATTTTTTGAAATATACTGCATTAAATATGATGAGGTTGCACTAAACTTTTAATTTCTGTAGTACTGCAGAATAAATCACCGTACCCACATTCCTTTCTACACCCTCCTCCCCACAAAAATGAGTCACAAAATACGTCAATTTGTGTGGATTCTGCAAACATGAAGGTTGCACAATGTGAGGATGAGCTACTGGCTTTCTTAACCATCCTGTCTCCTTCCTGAGAACTCCTCCTTACCCTGGCTCAGGAGGCTCGCTCCCTGGAAAGGTGACCAGATGTCCTGGTTTGCCTGGGACTGCCTCAGTTTTATCACTGAAAATCTCATGTTTTAGGAGACTTCAATCCCAAGCAAGCAGAACAATTGGTCCCCCTACCCTGCAGCCATGCTCTGGGTCACCAGCTACCCCTAAGGCCATGACTCAACCAGCCAGAGGTATACATTTTAGTCAAGTTGGACTAGTCACCTCTGTCCTTGGGATTCTGCATGCTGAACAGAATCCCAGACGGACACACACTGAGACAGAAGTTGTTTGCACCATTGTTACGTTAAATGAAGCCCTACAGAGCAGTTCAGCAAGGATTGCACAATAAAATAACCTGAACTTTCTGTTCAGTGGGCCTTGGCCTCAGAGACTCTGGGTTGATCAATTTGGAACTTGGCCTAGGTCCCATACTTTAAAAAAATCTTATCTGGCGATTCAAGGATGTAGCCAAGGCCCAATGCACTGCTATAGAAGGAAGATAGACAAACTCTTGGTATGGAGGCTTCTGGAATTGCTTTGATTTCTGCCATTTCTGAACATTGCTTATTCATTGCTTTCTTGAATTCCATAACACACTCTGGTACCTCCCAGTAAATCAATTTAAAAAATATGTACCTTGAATTATTTCCTATTCTTTGCAACCCAAAGAAGCGTAAATATTATTCAAACACAGTCAGTTTTGTTCTGTGTTTTCTACTTTAGGTAAAGCAGATGGAGGAAGAGACTGAAGCAAGGGATAACAATATATAGTAATGAGGCGGAGACTTGTGCTCAGAACACAAAGAATAACAGTCTTACAGCTTATGCTAGAAAGCATCAGCATCTTCAAGTATTCCAGTGCTGTGAATTGAATGAATGAATGAAATTGCCTCAACATCCATATGATTTTTTACAATTAAGTTCTAGAAAAAATTGCCACCCTAGATGAATTAATATGCTTCACATTTAAAAACGAAAATGATGAAATGATTGGAACACTGTATTTTCTTTTATTTTGCCTTGCTTGTGAGAAAACTTAGACCCTAAATTATGCTCAGTTAGTAAGAATATTACTAATATTTAAAGCATTATTTTTTCTTTCCACAGTTTACAATTTTTATGTGGATTCAAATTGCCTTATTTCGTCTTGTATATTAAGCTATTTTAAAGTTTCTAATTGAATTAGGAGGTCCCAAACTTTGAAGAACAAAAAATATAGTAATGAAGTATTCATAAGATGATAGCTACTATATTATCTATTGATACTCATATGACATTGCTTTCAGAAATTAAAGGTCTTTTTATAAGTTATAAGTGCTGATAACATTAAATATGGAAAGAAACATGTCACTAGGCAAATGGAAAGATTTTCAAAACATGTTTCATGCAAAACGTTAATATTCTTCATATATAAAGAAGACTGTTTAAAATACAGATATAAAAGACAAAACTCCAATAAACAATGGGCAAATATAACAATTCACAAAATGAAAAGTGCTAATAATCATTTTAAAACCGATTACTTAGAATGATTATTTGAAAGCTGAGTATGACTTTTGACGCTCCAAAAACTTTATTACTAATAGCCTACTGTTGATTGGAAGCCTTGCTGATAACCAAGTCATATTTTGTATGTTATATGTATTATATATTGTATTCTTACGTAAAGTAAGCTAGAGAAAAGAAACAATGTTATTATATTAAGAAAATCATAGGAAAGAGAGAGTATGTTTACCGTTCATTAAGTGGATCATCATAGAGGTCTTCATCCTTGGTGTGTTTACACTGAGTAGGCTAAGGGGAAGGAGGAAGAGAAGGAGTTGGTTTTGTTGTCCCATGGGGTGACAGAGGCAGAAGAAAATCTGTGTGTAAGTGGACCTGCACAGTGTTTCAAGGGTAAACTGTACTAGGTAATTGATCCATGCCGCTGCTTTATTTACCCTGTAACTCTCACATTTCTTTAGTAAATCATAAAAAAATCCCAATAAAATCATATGTAAAAAAAGTAAACCAATATATATATAAAGCCATTCTCTTTATTTCATACTACACTAAAAAATTCACTGTAGTCTTTACAGATATATAAGTCATTTCCCACAGGTATTACGTTGAGAAATGTTATGCTTATATAGCTTATATAGCAACTATCTTATAATGGAGGCTTGATGATTTTGCCAGACTCTGCATCCATTATTAGCAGTTGAAATATATTCATGAATTGGGAAGGAGGGAGTGTGTGAGGGGAAGAAACCCAATAAAATCATGAATTGTGTACTTTTAGATTCTTTGCATAAGTGCATATAAGTGCTTTGGTTATAAACATTGGAGACAATCATAAATTTATTGTTTAACTTGTTTATTAGAATGAATATGTTGTTAATGTCATACCAGAAAATTAGGATAAGGCTCTAATTACGTTAACCCACAGAAAATCTCTCTTGGGGTTAAAAGTGAGTAGTTACATTTTGGAAAAGAAGGCATTTTTTAAAAGTTGGGGATATATGTGTATATTATTCTTTGTTAATATTGCCTATATTTTAGATTAAATATATTTATGTACATATGATAAATAGCATGTATAAAACTAGGTTTTATGGTGATTTGTTTAATAGGAAATTGTTGTAAATTTATTAATTTTGATACATTATTAAATGCTAGGTTTGAGACTAGGTACTTTTCATACAGTGTAACTTAATTCTCTTATCAATCATTCAAGGTATGAAGCATCATTTCCATTACAGAGATGAAGAAATTAGAAATGTATGATTTAATTAATTGTCTCTATTATCCTATAATTATTAAATGCAAAAGATAGGCTCAAATCTACATCAAAATTTTTCCACATTTCATATTTTTTCCATTATATCACAGTGTTCCTCCATCCAGTTGTAGTGTACTAAATCCAAGTTTGCTTATAAATGGAGTGTCTTGTATCTCAGCTTTATTTTACAAATATTGATTAGAATCTGGTATCTTCTGAGTCCTACAATTGTTTTATACAATTATTTAGTTCAATAGATTCTTTCTTGCAGAAAATGCATTCTAGGTGACTATAAACTCTCTCTATATGTGTTAATACATTTTAGTGTAAGTAAAATTTGAGGTTATTGTTTTTGAGTTCTTTCATCATTATTTTCAACAGACATTATACTAGAACAAATTCACTGCAACTATTAATAACAAATTGGTGGGATGTTTGAAGATCTCCATTAAGCGTGGAACATGTTGGTTAAGATTCATTATTTTAAAACATCAACTAGGCCAGGTGAGGTGGCTCACGCCTGTAATCCTAACACTCTGGGAGGTCGAGGTGGGCAGCTCGATCAAGGTCTGGAGTTCGAAACCAGCCTGAGCAAGAGCCAGACCCCGTTTCTACTAAAAATAGAAAGAAAATTAGCTGGACAACTAAAAATATATATATAAAAAATTAGCCGGAATGGTGGCACATGCCTGTAGTCCCAGCTACTTGGGAGGCTGAGGCAGGAGGATTGCTTGAGTTCAGGAGTTTGAGGTTGCTGTGAGCTAGGCTGACTCCACGGCACTCTAGCCCAGGAAACAAAGTGAGAATCTGTCTCAAAAAAAAAAAAAAAATCAACTATAATGCTAAAATATAGTATAGGGAAAAGTAAACTATGGAAGAATGAATTACTCATGCATTATATTTGTTTAAAATATTAATAGTAATGTGAATTATCTTATTATTCTGTTTTGTTTTACTAGAACCTGCATTTAAAAAAAAAAAAAAAAACTCCCCAGAGAATTTTTGTCCAGCCTATGTTATACTTATTTAAAATCCCTGAAGTAAAGTGTTACATGATTAAATAAGTTTGGAAAGTGCTCGATTAAGTGGCATTAGACAAGGCATTTGGTGTAGGACTTCACAAAAATTTTAAATGGCTGATACACTTTGTAAATATCCAAAAGGAAACTGCAGTATGCATTGTTTCTCAAATACATTTGACCACAGAGTCCTCTCTAAAGGAAACATATCGTGGAACTTGTGTTCTGTGAAACACTCTTTGAGAAACTGTTTATGACATCTGTACCTGTACCGTCAGAGTGAAAAATAACAAAAATGGCTTTATTTTTGGCAATAAGAGTGCACTCTCAGATGACACCACCATCTCCAAATAGGAAAATACTTCTTAGCAATATCTATTATACATAACAAACACAGTACTTATATCCTGGTTGATTTGCTGTCTCTATGTAAGATTTGAATTTAATGACAATTTGAACGAGAAGCATATTAGTACAGGTAAAATAGCATTAAATAAATGAAACATTACATCATCTAATATGGTTCTTAAGTCTATATTGAATCAACATGCATTTTACTTAAAGTAAGTACTTTATAATATGTTTAATAGCAACAGATATGTCCTTATCAAAACTCAGCATCAAAAGTGACAAATTCAGAGGAATTTCAGGACAGTGAAAATGCTCTGTATGATACTATAATGGTGAATACATGCCATTACACATTTGCCAAAACTCATAGAATGTACACCAAAAGGGAACACTAATGTAAACTACGGACTCTGGATAATCATGATGTGACAATGTAGGTTCATCAGTTGTATAATATGTACCCCTCTGGTGGGGTATGTTGATAGTCAGGGCAGCTGTGTATGTTTGGGGGCAGGAAGTATATAGGAAATCTCTGTACTTTCCTTTCAATTTTGCTGTGAACCTAAACCTGTTCTAAAAAATAGAGTCTACATTTTTTAAAAAGTGAAAGCATATACATGTTTAAAATATGCAGAAGAATCTCTTATTTCTCTCTACTAATGAAGGTATATGGAGAATGAAGATGAAAGAACAATGTAAGTGGGAATTTTAATGGATTTATGGAAACTTTATGCTCTAGCACATTTCACATAAAAATAGGTCTGTAAAAAGTTTTGCGCATGGATGGACAGTCAGAGCTCTATTGATACTAAGTATCTAAAAGCCAAAACTTCTTCAGATGTATTTTCTTTTTCATATGGTTATTATTTTCTAATAGGGATAACAGTTTTTGTTTCGGAGAGGAACAAACATGCAAAAAAAAAAATTCTAGAATATTGATACCCAAAGTTGACATTTCTTGAAATTAAAATTCCTTTTGATGAATTCCTAGCTTTTCATTTAAGAGTACACGTTTTTCTTGTAGCCCTTGACTTAGTAATAGAAATGGTAAGTTGGAGGATATGATAATGAATTTATAAAGAAAGATCAATTAAGGAAGACTATGAAAAAAACACATGTACTCTGGAAAAGAATTTTACATTCTACCTGATTTAGTCATTTCAGATTCTCAGTCTCACATTTAAATGTTTGTATCTTAGGGATGTGTGGCCGTCTGTTTTTAGTTAATTTCAAGATATAAGGCTTTTGGTGTTTCAGGGATGTATTATTTTTATTCTTTAAGTCCTAGAACTGGCATTAAACTCAGGGAAATTACTAAATGATGAAGCAAAACAAAACAAACAAACAAAAACACCAGATACCCCAAACCTTCCTAACTCAGCCACTCACGTCATCAGCTTAAGCCTTCTTAACACCTAAGTTCTTCATGGAGGGGTCCATGTATTGGAGAACAAAGGACAGAGAGAAAATAATACTCCAATCAATTACCCTTCCTTCCCCTATCCCAAGGATGGGGACCTTAGGATTTGAGGATTTTTCGGGGGATAACTTTGGCTAGTGATAAATGTGATGATAATGACCTTTCCATGATTTTGTCTTACTGCTACTAGACCCTCACCTTGGAAGCTTGCCTGAGACCTGACTTCACTTTCACCAAAGTATCATGGCAAAGGCAATAGGCACACAGCAGTGATCCTCATCTGAGCTCATCACTTTACTTTTTTGTCTTCTTGCTTTTTACTGGTTTATTTCTTCTTAGAATGTCATTGCTTCTTCACTTGAATTGTGACATCAGTATCTGATGCTTACATCACCTTGGCTCAAGCATTTCTGTATAATTCTTGATAACACAAAATCCGGCATGACTTGGCATAACACAGCATATTTTTCAGTTAACAATAGCGGAATAAAGCAAGATTAATTTTTTTCAACAATGCTTTCAATGATTAGCCCTCTAAAGTTTTCTCTCATTATCTTATCCCTAAAGACAGAAAGACCACAATACAAATTTTTAAAGACATCCTCTCTATAATAAGGAAAAACTAATTAGTAATAAGTTGAGGAATATTAATTGCTAACCACAGATTTGTAGGAAATTATTGTATTTCCTCAGTATTAACTGGCTGCTCGATTCAGTAGCTTAAACTGATGACACCTTTGAATACTGGTACTTTGGGCTGTCCAGAGTATCAGATCTGCTTTTCTTTTTGACTTAGTGGTTGTCAGGGCAAGTTCTAGTGACATTTGGGTACAAAGAGACTTCTTTGGTGAAATGTCTAGTTAATGCAGAATGTTTGATTTGCTCCTTGCAATTGGCTCTCCAGGCATTCCGACAGCCTGAAACCTGCTCCATTTCACACATTTCCTGGTGACCCCTAGGAGCCACACTGCCACTGCAGAGGAGAAACTTTGCTCTCATAGAGTTATAATGACCTAGTTTATAAGAGGTTTAACTCTGAAAAAAAAGGGGTGTGTAAATTCACGAGTATTTGATGAGTCAGAACACACCATTGCCAGTCCTTTAGACTGAGAACTACGATTTGTTTCTGGGTGCCAGTAATTTTTATATCTTGTTGTCCTGATGATGACCAAATGAATTTCCCTCTCCACTCATTCCCTTTCTCACCCCAGTGGCAGTCATACTGTCAGAAGGAAAGTGTCTGTGATCCTTTTAGGTGTCTTCAATATAAAACCTCTAGAGAATCTGCTAGAGAAATCCATTTCACTTTTTTCTTTTTAATTTTTTTGTAGAGACATGGTCTTGCTATGCTGCCCAGGCTGTTCTCCAACTTGTGGTCTCAAATGACCCTCCCACCTCGGCCTCCCAAAGTGCTGGGATTAAAGGCGTGAGCCACCATGCCTGGCCCCATTTTGCTTTTTAAATATTATATCTGAGAAGGAAATTTGCTTATTCATTAATGAATATAATAATTGTAGTATAAAAATGATTTCATACTAAAATCTGTAGTATAAAAATACTATCAATGAGTTTAAGTTACTTATTTAAGATCAAAATTTTAATAGGAAAATTAAATCTAAGTACAAGATTAGGATTGCATATTGTCTGTAAAAAAACAAAAGGAAGTGCTGCTGGAGACTTGAGTCCTAAACCTAGTGCTGATTATAAATAAGTGCCTGGGGGACCTGGACTTAGTCATCACCTAAGCAGGCCTCAGTTTTCTCATCCATAAACTGGGTGATTCTTATGTTATCAAATAGGTTTAAAATACAATATTTCTGTAATATCCAGTTAATATGTACAAAAACAAACAAATAGCAACAACACCTAAACTAGAAATAAGTATCTCCAAAATCGTATGTTATGACAGTTAAAAGAAGAGATTTGATGCAGCAAAAACAAACACCTGGATCTTGTTTTTATGATAAAACAACTAAATTAAGGAAAAGCTAATTTACATAATGTGAACTCCTCATGGAATTCTGGTCAAGGTAGCAATGACATTATTTTTATTTTGGGGTCAAATTTCTTGAGTAAGTACCAATATGATCATATGGATTACTGTGAATCCGTTCAGCTCTTTTTTATGTGTTGGATTGTGATACACAGGACTGAGAACTGTGTGGAGTCTAGACATTATTTAATGTCATAGACTGCCAAATCACACCGGGAGTCCCTTTAGTTGCTTGTCAGTTGTGTTTGGAGGGTGACTTAATTCAAAATGGAAGTCAAGTGAGATACTACGTGAACTCTTATCTTTTTTGTTCCTGTAGGAGAAAGGATTAATAGTTCTTATCCCAGAAAAGGCTGAGAAAACTCAGTACCTGCCAATAGTGTGTTTATGTTCATTTTCTCAGTTTCAACTCTTCCTGAGGTGGTGAGCAATTCCAGGGATAAAGGACTTTTCCACTGTTTGACCTGGGCATGTAAAGTTCCAAAGAAGCAATACTTGCCCTAACTTATTTACTTCAGTCATTCATTCCCTATACCTATGGAGATCCTACTTTATTCCAGCCTCCATCTTAGGAGATTAAAAAAAAAAAAAAGTAAGTGGGCTATCCCGAAAAGTCTTAAAGTATACAGGAAGAAACATGCATTCAAAAAAATAATTGCAATTCATATAATTGTTGTGATGGAGGAAGGTGAAGTAGTAGAATGGAAAAGGGAATATCCATTAGAAATATTTAATATCCATTAGAAGTATTTCCTGATCATCCTGCCAGGAAATATTTCACAGAGAAGATAGGTAAGACTCCAGAGAAAATCGGAAGATAAACTGGAGTCTGATCTCATGGATTAGGAGCAGGTGAGTGGGGAGAGCATTTCAGGTAGAGGTCCTACAAGGGTGAGAGCATGGGGGGTGGAGAGCCTGGTGTTGTGAGGCACCGGAATACTTAGGAGGCTTGTAGCTTTGTTACAATTGGGGAATTTGAGACCAAGCAGGCTACAGAAGTCATCCCCTGACTATTCTTGCCTTTTTTTCTTTTTTTTTTGAGATAGAGTCTGGCCCTGTTGACCGAGGTAGAGTGCAGTGGTAGCTCACTGCAACCTCAAACTCCTGGACTCAAACAATCCTCCTACCTTAGCCTCCCAAGTAGCTGGGACTATAGGCATTCGCCATGATGCCTTGCTAATTTTTTTCTATTTTTTTTTAGCAAAGACAGGGTCTTGTTCTTGCTCAGGCTGGTTTCGAACTCCTGAGCTCAAGCAATCCTCCCAAATCAGCTTCCCAGAGTGCAAGGATTACAGGCATAAGCCAACACGCCCAGCCAAGTTTTGCATTTATTGCTGAAGAGCTGATGTTCAATCATACTGGGTCTTGCTTCCCAATATGGAATTCATTCAACCTTGGGGTTAAATGCAAACTCATCATTGTATACTTGGGGTGGCTGAATACCAGAGCATCATCTTGTTTGAACAGTAATTAAAGTCAATCTTGAGCAACTTTAAAACTTTATTATTTGATATAAATGCACAGTAAGAATTAGAAATTTTACTGTGAATTGTAGAGATTAAACAGGAGATTGCAAATAAATGTTTCTATTGAAGTTAAGAGCTACCTGCCCAGATCCCTAGAGCATTTGCCATGGTTCTCCTTGGCTGTCAGGACTTCCTCAGCACGAGAGTTTGTTTAGGTTTTGTAGATGCTGAGGCAGTACACTAACTGGCTTTCCAAAACAAATAATGAAAAAAGCAAATGGATGTAGCTATTATTCACAATGAAATGGAGTTTAGCTTTTTTTCTTGGACAATAAAAAGTCTTTCCAGCAAAATAATTACACTTTCTTATTGAGATTGAAAGCCTAGTCTATTGTAATACTTCCTGTGCTTATCAGGCTTAAAGAGTAGAATAAAAGGATTCTTTGTCTGATGAGAAAGTGCAGTAGAGTTTCCCCTTGGTCTTTAGAACTTGAGAATTAAGGACAGTCCTGAAAGCAGTCACATGCCCCCATACCGATCTCCCAGTCAGCACGAGGAGTTGATGACTAATACGTAGGCGGTTTTATCATGCTGAAAAATGACATTTGCTATCACATTTCAGCACTATTATGAAATGGCCAGTAGTTAAAGAAAACATTATCTTAAAGTGAAACTGAGAAAAGAGATGTGACAAAATGATTATTTTCCCTTGAGTTCCTCTTATTCATGGACTACATGGACACTTTATTTAATTTTTATAGGAGGGATTGTTAAGTTTTTTATTTAAAAATGATTATATCAGAGAAATTCAGTAACACACATCACAACCAGAACAAACTGAGTCCATAATTACTTAGCTTGATTGAAAATACTGATAGTGCAAAAGGGAACATAAAATCATGGAACTCAGTATTATGTCAATGAACCAATAAGGAAAAAACATTTTGCAGTTAAAAAAGAATCAAGTATTTAAAGTTTTGGTCACCTTCCGGAAAGCCAAAAAGCTCCTGTTTATTTCAAAAGAGAAACAGTGCAGTCAGCTGGCAGAACACAGAGGTTAGCGAAATTCTTTCTGTTTCTACTTCTATTTGAAATCTCTCTGACCCTGGGGAAGTTGCTTTCTTTCTCAATGTCATTTCTCCATTTGTGAAATGACATAAGAGTTTATCTATCTTCTTAGTCTACGATCAAATAAGATAAGGTCTGTGGATGAGGACATTTTATGCAAATGTAAGGTATCATCATTATTTGGTAGCTTAGTGATCATAAGCAGATTTCTCACAGATTATGGTAATTTTCCATTTTTTTCATGGAATTTAAATGACCAGTTTTGTTCAGGCAAGCTTGTCATGCTTTAGGTAGATTCTTCTATATTTTGAAATTGAATCTTAATTCACATCTTTCAAGGTATTCATATTGCCTTTTTGTGATTTTGTGGTTGTCATGATTTCACAATTCAGAAAATTAATATCACACGCTAAAAACAAAAGTAATATGAATGTATTGCAACCACATTTCTCCCCAAATTTAAAAGTACAGGGCAGAAAAAAAAGAGCAACCATATTGTTAACATCTGAATATAAATACTGCTTGCTATATTTCCGGCCAATCTGTATTCCTATATGTCATAATGTATGTTCATAGAATTTTTCATGAGTATGGAAACTATTACATCATATGAATTTTTCTAGGTGGTGCTACCTTCCTGCTCTCCTCCCCATCATCTAAATCAGAGGTCAGTAAACTTTTTCTATAAAGGCACAGATAGTAAATATTTTAGGCTTTTAGGCCATAGGGTCTCGGTCACGTCTGCCCAACTGTGCTAATGCTGCAGACATAGACAGTATGTAAAGGAATCAGACTTCCTGTGTTCCTATAAAAGTTTACTTATAAACATAGGCTGCATGTTAGATTTGGTTCACAGGTGCACAGTTTGCTAATCCCCATATAGATGATTATAAATTGTTTAATTATTTAGGCATGGAATTGTTGTATTCCTCTATAGCTATTTCATATTTCTTTCTGCCTAAATTTCGATTTGTCTTAAATCCTCATGTTTAACATTGGGCTTATTATTATTTCCCCTGTAGTTACTCTCTAAGAACATGGAAGGAGTGAAAATTGAAGCTCTTCTTTTGTTGACTCATGAGAACAATGTATTCTGAGGAGGCTAGAATTCATATTGCCAATTTGCTTTTCAAATGCTTATATAACTTATAAGATATAAACTTAATCTTATGCTTATAAGATAAATTTAACGGATATATTTTCACATTCCAGAAATTTTAATTGGTTTACTCACTACTGATGTACTTGAATTGAATGAATTATTCAAAAATGATTTATTTTAATAGTCATATATGTCTATGGATCAAAATTCTGAAACATACAAAGGAGTAAACAATCTCCTCACACTATACCTTGTTACCAGTTTCCCTTCCCAGAAAGCATCACTTTTATGTCTCTTGTGCATCTTTTTAGCTATAGTTTATGCATATCTATGATTAGTAGAGAAATCTTCGATGAGCAATGCCATTCTTCAATGATTATTGGTCGTGCTATGTCTTTTATTTCTTTTTAGTACAACATTTGGTATTTTTTATTGACATAAAAATTGTATATGCATGGAGCACATGAGATTTTCATATTTATATAGATTGTGGAAGCCTCAAACCAAGGTAATTATAATATCCATCCCTTGATATTGTCTGTTTTTCAGAAATAGATTAATTTTTTAGGTCTTCAAATTTATTTACATTTGTAGTTGCTTATAGTACTTGTATTATTTAAACTCTTGTTTGTTGGTAAATACCTCCCTTTTATTCTATTAATATATGGTGTATAGTATAATTGGAATTAATAAAGTTGATATGGTAAAAAAGCCTTATCTGTTTTGTCTCTGTGTATATATATGGTTCTTGATATTTTTCCCTTAAAAAAGATTTATTTTTCTTTAAATGACTGGGTCTGGCTCTGTCACCAAGGCTGGGGTGCAGTGGCATGATCATAGCTCACTATAGCCTCAAATGATCCTCCTTCCTCAGCCTCCTGAGTAGCTGGGATTATAGGAGAGAGCCACAGCACCCAACTAATTTTTCTTTTCATTATTTGGCTTTGTTTTTAAAGACAGCGTCTCATTATGTTGCCCAGGCTGGTCTTGAACTGGCCAAGGCATCCTCCCACCTCAGCCTTTCCGGTAGCTGGGATTCCAGGTGCAAGCCACTGCGCTGGCTATTTTTTCCTTTTTTCATTTTTGGTTTTAATTAGATCTGAAAGTGTCTATTTTGTGAGGGTATAACATAGTATTTCCTAAATTACTCTTATATTAGGTTTTATTTTTCCCATCTTATTTGGTATTTCCTTTTGAGCATGCATATTTATTATTTCTCTTTGCACTAGTTTCCTTCATTTCGCTGGATAGATTAAATATTCTTTTATTGGTTTGGAAATTATATATTCTACTCTTTGTCTCCCAGTGTTTACACAAAGGTCATTAAAATCCATTCTCAATTTCTTAAACATAGTAGTCTATATATCTTCCCTAAACAAAACACACCTCAGCATTCTTTCGCCTCATTCTGCTTTCCCCTATTATTCTCCACATTCATATTTCTAGAATTTATTTCTAGATTAACAATATACTTTTGTTATTGTTCTTATTTGCTTATTTTGACAGCCATACTAAGTTTCCCACTTTTTAATTTATTTTCATTTTTTCCTCCTTCCACAGCTACTTTCCCTCCACCAGCTTTAATGAAGTCTAATTGACAAATAAAAATTATATACATTTAAAGTGTACAATATGGTGTTTTGAAAGATGTATATGTGAAATAATTAGCACCATCAAGCTAATTAACATAATTAACAGCCATCGCCTTTTGTAGTTACCTTTTTGTGTGTGTGTGATGAGAATACTTAAGATCTACTTTCTTAGCAATTTTGAAGCATACAATATATTATTATTAATTATAGTCACCATGCTGTGCACTACATCTCTGGAACTTACTCATCTTAAAGCTGAAAGTTTTCATCATTTAACCCATTTCCCATTTCGCCTATTTCCAACCCCTGACAGCCACCATTCTCTTTGATTCTGTAACTTTGACTTTTTTAGATCTCATAGTACATCTAAGTGAGATCATGCAGTATTCGTCTTTCTGTATATGGGTTAATTCACTTAGTGTAATGTTCTCTAGTTTCATCTATGTTGTTGCAAATGGAAGGACTTCCTTCTTTATAAGATTCGGTAATATTTCATTGCAAATATTTACCATATTTTCTTTATCCATTTATTCATTGATGGACACTTAAATTGATTCCGTATCTTAGCTATTATAAATAGTGCTGCAATGAATATGGTGTGCAGATACCTCTTCGAATTAGTGATTTTATTTCCTTTGGCTATATATCCAGAAGTGGAATTGCTGGATCATATGATAGCTCTATTTTCAATTTTTTGAGGGACCTCCACACTGTTTTTCATAATGGCTGTACTAATTTACATTCCTACCAACAATGTATAAGGGCACCTTTTTCTCTACATCCTCAGCAATATTTATTATGTTTGACTTTTTGATAATAGCTATCCTAGCAGATGTAAGATGATATCTCACAGTGATTTTAATTTGCATTCTCTGATGATCAGTGATGTTGAACACTTTTTAATATACCTGTTGGCCACTTGCTTTTTTGGAAAAGCACAGACTACAAATGGAAAAATAAGCAATGGGACTGCATCAAACTAAAAATGTTTGCATAGCAAAGGAAAGAATCAATAAAATAAAAAGGTAACCTGTACAATGGGAGAAAATATGTGCAAACCATACATCTGATAAGGGGTTAAACTCCAAAATATATAAGGAACTCATACAATTCAATAGCAAAAAAACCCACAAAAAACCCAAATAACCTGATTTAAAAATGGACAAAGAACTTGAATAGACATTTTTCCAAAAGGGACATACAAACAGCTAGTATTTATTTACTTAACCCTATTCTTAATATGACTTATAGTTTTATTTTTGTTTTCAGAAATATGCTAACTCTTCTGAGGCCTTGATACTTCTTTTACTCTATCACCTAAATGATAATTTAACTGTTTATATAATTGTAGGTCCAATGTCTTTATCCCTCAGCACTTTAAATATGAATATATTAATTACCTGTCTCTTTAAAACCTTATTTTTAAAACCTTATTTCAGTCTAATTTTGCCCTTTGTAGGTGATCTGATCTCAGTCTCTGGAAGGTTTTAGAATTTTCTATTCACCCTTATTTTCTTAAAAATTCTCTGAAATGTAACTAGTTATGGAGGTTTTTTTTAATGCTTATTTATTTATGTGCCCATTTGGTGGCATTCTATGAGAACTGTTAATTGGAGAATGTTATCCATCATAAATTTGAGAAATCTTATTCTCTAGCTTATTAAGTTTGTCCTCCTTTCTATTTTTATTTTTTAAATTTGGGAATTCCTATCAAATGAATACATTTCTCTTTATATATTCTTGTGCATTATTTTGATTTTAGAAATCCTATTCCTTTATTCTTTCAGTGAGCTTTTTTTTTTTTAAGACAGAGTCTCGCTTTGTTGCCTAGGCTAGAGTGAGTGCCGTGGCATCAGCCTAGCTCACAGCAACCTCAAACTCCTGGGCTCAAGCTATCCTCCTACCTCAGCCTCCCAGGTAGCTGGGACTACAGGCATGCGCCACCATGCCCGGCTCATTTTTTCTATATATATTAGTTGGCCAATTAATTTCTTTCTATTTATAGTAGAGACAGGGTCTCGCTCTTGCTCAGGCTGGTTTCGAACTCCTGACCTCGAGCAATCCGCCCGCCTCGGCCTCCCAGAGAGCTAGGATTACAGGCGTGAGCCACCGCGCCCGGCCTAGTGAGCTTTTTTGAGGAGTTACTTTACTTGAGCTTTTAGCTAACAGTTTTCTTTGCCTATGTTCGTACTGTTATTGAAACAACTTACTGCATTCTTTGTATCAACCATTTCATTTTTCATACCCAGTATCTCTAATTGGTTTTTCCAAATGATGACCCATTTCTGTGTCTTATCTCCAGTGTCTTCTCTTATCTCCTAGAAGACATTTATTATACTTATTTTAAGTTATTCTTCTGTCCAGTATAATGAATCTTTTTTTGTTACAGATTTTTTAAAATTATTGTTATTTTCTAATAGGAATTGGGTATAAATGTCTCATCATTTTTCCTCATGGAACCATTTTCCCCAGGGAATAGTAATGTGTTCTTGGGGAAAATACTGTCAAAATACTAGATTGCATCAATTGTATCCCTCCTGAAATATTTCAGAAGGAAAACATGCTTTGGGCAGAAGATTCTTTTGTAGTGCAATTTACTGGGAGAAATCACTCTTTTTCCTCCTCCTGCAATATCTATCACCTTGCCCTAGGTAACTTCCTTATATCTACAAGTTGCTACTGCTCTTTCCTAAGTCCTGACTCTGGGTTGTAATCCTCTAGTACTCAAGATATTTCATAGGTCTGAATTGAAAGTGCTCAGGGTCTACCATGGGCCTATGCTTGTTCTTATCCACCCCCTAGCTCTGCCCGAACACTGCTCTCAAGTTACTCTGTCATTTCAAGTTGGTGCTGGCTGATATGACTACAGATTTTATTTGGTATTATTTATTGTCTTTTATTTTTTATATCCTACAGGGGCAACAGAGTGGGCAACAATGTCCCTTAAGGGATGCAAGAGGGGTAACAAAGAATGACTATGTAATCCTTGTGCCATTTATCCATAACTATGGCCCCTCACCTTCTCTCATTTGCTTTTCCATTCCTGCCTTAGGCATACCCAGAACCCCAGACTCCTTCTAATTCCCTCAGAGGGCTATCAAGGTTTCTATGATAGTTTTTTTGTACCCATCAGTCTCATTCTCATTTCTGTGATGTTTCCAGCGTTGCACTATTGGTAGAGGAGGATGCCTAATGCCATGTCAGTTTGCCTTCTTGTCAGGAGCAGAAATCCAGTTGTTTCTTTCAGAAGAACTTATGAAAACTATGACTCTCAATTCAGGTAACCTGAAAATGTTTGTCTATTTTATACTTGAATGATATTTTGGCTGGGTATATAACTTTAGGACCACAATTTTTTTCTCTTGGTGCTTCATAAATGTAGCTCAAGGGCATTCTGACAACTGCCTGATCGTTTTTCCCTTTAAAACCCTTTGCACTCGGATATCGAGTGTGACTCGACAGGGTTAGCATTGGTAGCAGCTTGTATGTAGAGCCACACTCTGCACGTAGTTTCACAGCAGGAGGGAAGGGAGATTTTTTCTATTTTTCAGTATCTTTTCTTGTTTTCATTAGCATGAAAGAACAAGTAAAATGTAAATGCAGAGATGGTACACTAACTTCCAGGGGTAGATTATTATCCACTAACTTAGAGCAACGTTTAGATGGAAAGCTCCATATAATCATACCTCACCCTAACAAAAACCACAAAGGTTGTGTTGTTTGTTCTAACAGAAAAATCAAAGGAGGAAGAAGAGACACTATTTATATTTGTGAAACATGTGAATGTAAACCAGGTCTTTATGTGGGTGAATGTTTCAAAAAATATCACACCATGAAAAATTATAGAGATTAAAATTAGTCTTCAAATGTATCAGTAATCTGAAATATAAAAAAATCCAAATAAATAAGTTTGTATGAAAAGAAACTCCCGTTTTTTATTCTACTGCCACGCTTTGTAAAATCTGGGGTATTTAAAAAATTAAATCCCGAGTAGAATAAAGGAATCGAGAAAAAAAGCAAAGGGTTAAAATGCCCTGGTTTCCCTACTTGAATTTTCAAGACTGTTTCTTTATATGTAAAGTCGAATAGTTTAATGGCTTTTACTCTTAGGTCTGGTGGTTAATTGTATAATAACATTTTTTTTCCTGAAATATCAATTGCTTCTTAAAATGATAGATTCAATCATCTTTAATCTCCAAATTAAAGATGAATTAAAAATGAAAACCTTTTTTGTTTTATTTACTTTTTCTCAACCTTTGAGACACCAATTATGCCTAAGTTGAATCACCCTTGTTATGTTGCATACATACTATTTTGTTTAGAAATTCTTTGATTGTTTGCTTATTTCTGTCATGTTCTTCTGTGTCTCTCTTATTCTTCATTTTCTTGCTTCCAATGTGGACTTCATTTTGTGAGAGTTCTATTATTTGTATATCCTCTCAAGTTTTGCCAACTCATTTTTCATCTTCTGATCTAATGTCCCCTTATTTGTCTTTTCAGGCTTTATATCTACACATGAATCTCTAATTTGATAGCCCTGGTATTTCCATTAATTTTTTTTTTTTTTGAGTTCTTGGAAAGGGCTTGGGTCATGAATTTTAATCTGCTTTGTAGAAACATTTTTTGAGAGGTGGTATTCACCATTTGTTTTCCCTGTTCCTTTCTTGCTTTTTGAAGGGATTTTTAAAAATATATATATGCTAGACTTGTTCTCTTTGCTTATTACTCAGTTTTTAATATGTAATAATGGATTGACTTTGCATTTCCACATGGTGATGGGGTCATCAAATGGGTTTGGAGGTACTTCCACAGTCAACCCCTTTCCCTGAGTCTTTTGTTCTGAGCAAGAGAACATTGTTTTAGTCACTCTTAGTGTGTCATACAGCTGAAGAAATCTGTGCCTTATACATTCTTTCTGGGATTTCAGCTCTGGGTACCTTCTTTTTGTGTCATTTTCATCCCTGCCTCAATTTAACTGGCATTCCAAGTCTGTTGTCATATACATCCAGTTTCAAGGCTGTAGTGAGGGTTAACTTAATAAAAAATTGGGAAGAAAGAAGCAGAGATGTTAATAAACTGCCTTCTTAAAATTGGAAGAAGCCTATTTTATTCTGCAAAACAATTTAACTACATTTTTCCCTGTCTTATGGAAACACTGTGCTCTAGATGTTTTCCTAAGGAAAAGAGCCATCTAAGACATCTATGCTTAGCTAGAATAGAATTGTCAGGAACTTTACAATCATGACTATTCTTAACCTTCTCCAAATTAAACTTTTAGGCAGGTTTCCCACATTAGTCTGTTGTCCCACACTTGGGAAAGAGAGAAACATACATATCTTCTTGTTCTTAAACTGTTCAAATACACCCAGGGTTATTTCTTGCCCTTCTCTTTTCTCTTTACACAGATAAGCAAGTAAGATTCACTAATCAATTGATTATGAAGTCTGACTTTCTCTAACTTTACTGCCGATAATGTTTTGACCAGTGATCCGATCATCTCAAGACCTGAAATAAGAAAGCAGTTCTTCTCTATGAAACTATTGGTTGGGAATCCTCAAGACAATAGATATACTGACTAGTTGAGAAGAAGAAGGGTAATTTCATCATGATGTAGAGGAATCATATGGTGAATATATAATGCTTGTTTCTTGTCCCCTGAAAAGTGATGATGAGATTTTCAGGGATATTCTTGCTGATATATAAACTGAATTTTTTTTTTTGTAACTTAAATTACTACTCATATGAAACACAAAAAGTTAAAACATGATTCAAAATTTCTTTGCCATCATATCAAATCAAGTGATGTATTTGCCTTTTATTTAATACAGTTTTAAAGTTTTTCATTAAGCTATAAATTAAATGTACATTGTTTTCATACCCACTTTTTTCAAGTGAAAGGAATGCTTTCTGTATCATTAGAAGGAGTATTGAGGAAATTGGAAATTCACTATATCATTTTTCAGACAAGTGACATCACTGGTATGGAGATCACTAGCATTGCATCCTTTTGTTTGGTGTCAGTCTCCTACTTTGAGTTAAATAGTAGAAACATCCCAAGCCTTAGAGGCTTCAGTGTCTGGTACACAACGCTGATGAAAACAACATTGTAATAACAAAAAATAAACAGAATACTAATTTCAAAAGTGTCAAAATATCTGAAAGATGATCAAAAGGATTAAGACCTCTAGGGTCAGATTCATGAGAATTGCATGTTTAGATTGGATTATCTCCAGGGAGATTCACTGCTTCTCTTTTGCTTAGATATATCTAAGTCCAATGAATCACCCAGGAAATATTATTGGGCATCTACTGTCTGAGAAGTAGCAATGCTAGAGACATAGTGACAGATAAAAGATAAATCAGGGATGGATTCCTCCTCCCAGTAATGCAAAGTGTAAAAGAGCAGAGGCGCCACATGACACGAAATAGAAAGTAGAAGACCATGAGTACTATTGGAAAGACTTACTTGTACAAACCTGGCCACTTCATGTATTATTGTGCTATGTTGTGCCACACCATCAACTCAATATGGGGATTAGCCCTTTCTGTGATTTCCACTTCAAATATGCAACCAACAACAAAAAGAACAAAAATACTCACAGTTTGAGTATTTTTCAGACAGCTTGAGATTTTATTGCCAATGGAGAATGGAATAGATCACATAAGCAAACACAACTTACATTTCATATTAGAATTCTACTCATTAAAATGTATTTGGGCTTCCTCCTATCTTGATACTCGTCCAATCCTTGTATACAAGTACCATTCTCATCAAGAAGTGGTGTGTTTTTAAGATTATGTTGTCTGGTCTGTGTCAGCAGCCTGCAAATGAGTATAATCTATCTCTAATAAGAAAAAAATATTGTTTTGAGCAAATAAGGAGATTGCATTCTTTCATTACTTTGCACAGGATCCACAAATGCTCGTAGTATACTATTTATGAGGTGTGGGACATACATAGGGCATTGCTTTTCCATGGGGATCCAATTACCTCTGTATGGTCCCTTTATGTGGAAGAGGTAACCTGACAACATTTATTCATACATAGAAGGAAAATTGCTCATATGAAAATTGGCCCATGTGAAAAGTCTTAGAATCTCAGCATGTTAGATCTTATAGTGATCACAGAGATTCAGAATTTAACCTCTTTATTTTACAGCTGAGAAACTGAGAAACAGAAAAGTCTGCCCAAGGACACCTGGCTATCTTACAAGATCAAGCAATTTACCACCTTCCTTTGTAGTTGCTAAGATTCACATGCCATAAAGTGGTGGTGTGAAGTCATAATACATACAGTTTGTAGGATAAGATTTCACACTTGAGAATTGTTTTTAATACTCTTAGAATTTATGTGATTTTCCATCTCCCCGGATTGATAATTTCTGAGACTTTATAGTTGCGAGTTAATGTATAACCCAGATCCAAATTGTTTCCATAGGAGAGCGAATATCAACTCATAAGACAGTATAGAATTTGATTTAATTTGAAAATTGAAATGAAAATCTTGCTCAGAATTAAGATGTTTCCTCCTCTAAACTTTCTTAGCATTTACTGGTATCTTAATGTTTCAGGTATATCTTTACTATTTATATAATTATTCACATATTATATTTCCATTAATCGACTATCAATACTCTGAAAGCAGAGACTATCATATTACCACCTTTTTCCTGGGTTACCCCAGTGCTTTCGCATAGATGTTTGCTCCATAATGTTTACTGCCTTAATGGATAAATGAAAGGAAGTTCTACTTGCTACATTTTAATTCACTACTTGCTCCCCTCCTTAAAAGAAGAAAAAGATATATTGTAATAAAGGTAAAATGGAACAAAGACCTACCCTGTAGGTGAATGACTAGCTTTTCTGGCTGATTGAAATTAGCCGTTAGCCATAGCGATATATCTAATAATAAATGGGACTTTTTTTTTTTTTTTCTATTCGTAGGTATGAAACATTTTATTCTTTCCCCTGGTCAAAATGTTTTACTTTTATGATATTTCTTTATTTCAAAGCATTAAACATACAATGACTTATTATGTGGTTTTCTGGCCTTTTTCTTATTATATGATAATGTTTCTTTTTTAGACTTGACTAGAGTTGCCACATGGATTCATTTTAGCAGAGTCATGTAGTGACTTAGTGATGAAGATGATTGTAGAACTTTGTGTTTTTCATTTTACATCATTATTGCTAATTATTGACTGTACAAATTGGAAGGATTTTTCCTACACTATCTGCAGATTCATCGTTTGCACTATTTTCTACAATACATGAAGCTGG